CACACACACACACACACACACACACACACACACACACACACGGTCTAGTACAGCTGTCTTTATGGGGACATTTCATTGACTTCTATTCATTTCTACAGCCTAACCCTAACCCCGAATGAGGACCAGGCTTTGTCCAATAAGTACTCACTGGTCCCCACAAATAGGGGTGTATGCTAAAAATGGTCCCCACATAGTAGTGAATACCTGCCCACACACACTCTGTCAGTAGTTTACAGCAGCAGCTCTGTGTTTGTTTGACAGAAGTCCCAGATTACAGCCTGAGGGTTTCCTACATGAAGGACCTGGTCCGGACTCTGCCTCTGCCAAACTACAACACCATGGAGCTCCTCTTCAAACACCTGCGCAGGTGAGTTACCCTTCAGACAAGGTCTAACTCCCTCAAGACCAGGACTAACTCCCTCAAGACCAGGACTAACTCCCTCAAAACCAGGACTAACTCCCTCAAGACCAGGACTAACTCCTCCAGACTAGGACTAATGCCTACAGACTAGGACTGTCACCCCTCTAGACCATGGACTAACCCCCCTAGACAAGGACTAATGCCCTCCAAACCAGGACTAACCCCTCCAGACCAGGACTAACCCATTTAGACCAGGCCTAATCCCCTAGACCAGGACTAGCATCCCCTAGTCCAGGACTAACGCTCTCTAGACCAGGGCTAACCCCTCCAGACCAGAAMTAACCCCATAGACCAGGACTAACACCTCTAGACCAAGTCTAATCCCCTCCAGACAAGGACTAACCCCTCCAGACTAGGACTAATTACTCTAGACCAGGACTAATCCCCTCTAGACCAGAACTAACCCCATAGACNAACCCCTCCAGACTAGGACTAATTACTCTAGACCAGGACTAATCCCCTCTAGACCAGAACTAACCCCATAGACCGGGACTATTGCCCTCTAAACCAGGACTAACTTCTTTAGACCAGGACTAATGCCCTCCAGACCAGGACTAACCCCTCCAGACCAGAACTAACCCCATAGACTAGGACTAATACCTCTAGACCAGGACTAATCCCCTCTAGACCAGAACTAACCCCATAGACCGGGACTAATGCCCTCTAAACCAGGACTAACCTCTTTAGACCAGGACTAATGCCCTCTAAACCAGGACTAACCTCTTTAGACCAGGACTAACCCCTCCAGACCAGGACTAACCCATTTAGACCGGGCCTAACCCCCTAGACCAGGTCTAACATCCCCTAGTCCAGGACTAACGCTCTCTAGATCAGGGCTAACCCCTCTAGACCAGAACTAACCCCATAGACCGGGACTAATGCCCTCTAAACCAGGACTAACCTCTTTAGGACTAACCCCTCCAGACCAGGACTAACCCATTTAGACCGGGCCTAACCCCCTAGACCAGGTCTAACATCCCCTAGTCCAGGACTAACGCTCTCTAGATCAGGGCTAACCCCTCCAGACCAGAACTAACCCCATAGACCAGGACTAATACCTCTAGACCAGGACTAATCCCCTCTAGACCAGAACTAACCCCATAGACCGGGACTAATGCCCTCTAAACCAGGACTAACCTCTTTAGACCAGGACTAATGCCCTCCAGACCAGGACAAACCCCATAGACCAGGACTAATACCTCTAGACCAAGTATAATCCCTTCCAGACCAGGACTAACCAGCAGTCTTAGTTCTGTTAGGTCTAGTTAGTCCTAGATAAATATAAATTCAATCTGCTGTATTTTAAATCATGACTCAGCATAAAAACTCTGTTAAACAACCTGATCCTTTGAAACCAGAACCTGAACCGGACTCTGGACCACTCAGTTCTGTCTGTAAACCCCTCTGGTTCCGTTGGTCTCTTCTCAGGGTGGTCGAGCACAAAGACTCCAACAGGATGTCGGTTCAGAGCGTCGCCATCGTGTTTGGACCCACGCTGCTCCGCCCGCAGACCGAGTCCGCCCACATGACGGTCTACATGGTCTTCCAGAGCCAGATCGTGGAGATCATGCTCAACGAGTTCAACACCGTCTTCTCCGAGACGTAGAACCCCTCCAGAATCACGTGGAGACMTTTAGAACTCTTCAAACGCATCCAAGAACCTCCAGACCTCGACTGAAACCAAAGTCCAGGTTTACCACTAAGACAGTCCGAACCCTATAAAGGTCTGGTCTGGTTCTGAAGAACCCAGATCCTCCAGCCCTCGGACTTTGTGTTTTATGTTATTTTTATAGTGAACTTTAAAAACTCTTAAAGGGATTCAGATCTAGACCCTGCGGGCTGCTCGAGACCCGGCTCTAGAAAGGATCTGCTACGAAAGGAACCCCAGCAGAACCCTGAGCTGCTTGTGGAGCGCACGTTCTTCTCTTTCAGGGTTTGAAACCTTCAGAATCTCTGTAGCTGTGTTTCCATTGACCATGAAAATGCGCAAATTAGAATTTCGAAAATAAATTAGCTCGATGGAAACACGTCAATTTTCAAAAATATTACGTTTTTCGACAAAATGTTTTTGCTCTAGGATGAGGTGGTTTTTCGGCCATATCGAAATTGGTG